CACTTCATGAATGACGAGTTGGTCGATGTCGCCAAGGGCAACATCGTTCAACCGGGCAACCCCGTGTTCGACGGTAAATCGATGCCACCCACCATGTATAGGGTTCAACTGGTTCGGGTGCTGCCAGGCTGCGACGAGTTGTTACCTCCGATTCAACCCGCCGGGCCGACGTAGAAGATCTGATGACCCTCAGCGCCTGCCTAAGTTGGCCCCTGCTTTGGCCGAAGAGCTAGATTCGTTTGGGGGCGGGGGACACCACCCCACAGACAAGACCTACAGTCGTGCCGGCATCGCGCCATGGCAAGAACGCCGCAACGCTACCGGACATGCCGGACATCCCTATGGCACAGGATCCGGACATGCATATGGCACAAGATCTGGATGACGACGACAACTACGATGGTACATTTACCAACGTCGATAAGTACTTTGCTGAACATGGGTACGGTAACGAGTTCGGCGGGCCTCCTTCTCAAGAACCCAACCAAGACGACCGTGATCTAGCTGGTACGACGGAGAAATCCAATTGCAACAGGCGTCGTCTGGCATTCAGTTCTCAGGAGACACCTCCAGCTCCCGCCTTCACCGAGCCTCAGATAGCTGAGGTGCGAAATATTATCAGCCCCAACACGCTCAAGAAGGCGATCTATGAGTAGAACTCGGTCCCATTACAACAGATCAAGAAGAAGGGACGGAAACAAAAGACTGCCAAGGGCGCTGGTGCGAGCCAGCCGGCACCGAGTACGACCCTTGCTCAGGACGGGCCACCTTCACCTCAGGATATCTCTAGGAGGGTGCATGTGGCGGGTCGGGCGATGCTACCGACAAATATGCTCAATGCTGCAACCGGTGCTATGCGGAGTTTGCATGACAGCGTTCTTTCTTTGGAGAAGCGGCGTCTCTCCCAGAAAGATGTGGCATACCCGGTTTTCGTGGCCAAGGTGCCAGAGGGCAAGGGCTTTGTGGATGGCGCCATCGGGGGTACGATCATCCTGCGGTTTGATGACATCTTTGCTATGTTTAATCTTCATCCGCTGCACTACACCTTCGTTCGACTGTTTTTCGTTGAGTATGGAGATGCGGATCATTCTAGACAAGACCCCGGACATCGTGATAGTCGACCCCTTCTACATGCGTGCCAAGATCTTGGGCAGCGCTGGGGACCGGCAAGTCGCAAGTTCACACCTCGAAGGCGTCATTCTGGCAAACCCAGATAAGGATAACTTCCTCGTGCCTTACTTTCCTGAATAAGTCATCCCCTTACCGCCCCGTAACATATGATTTCTTAGATTTCGATCATTCTTTTTTTTCTAACATTCCGTGTTTTGTGCAGTGACACACATTGCCCACTCATCCTTTTAAGCCCGAAATATTCCACGGCCACGTATTTCGACCCGGACCGTGACTCCAAGATAGACTACACAAATATCAAGAAAGTTCTTGATGATGCTCTCCCCGGCTACGCCACATCTGGAGGCACCTTTAAGAGGTCAGTTCGTAGGTACGACAGGCACATGTTCACCCACAATACGACGTTCCCCTGCGTCAAGCAACCGCCTGGCGGTCAGAAGGATTCCTACTACGCCCTCGATCACATGAGGGCAATCGTACGGGACCATAATCACCTTCTGCTACCAAATAATGTCAAAGATTGGGCCGCAAGCTTGGCGGCAATCGAGGATGCGGACCTCCGACAAGAATTCTTTCGCATCCAGTCGGAGTTTGCAGAAATCATCCATCAAGATGTCCTTCATACCTCGGGGCAGTTCTACCTCAGAGAGAAACCGTCCAACAGTGAGATAGACACAACACTTCAAATGCAGGCTGACAACGCCCGCGACTTCATGACCATCACGAAAGACGGCGGCTTCATCCACGCTCCGGTCCCATGAGTCGAGTCGAAAGTAGTGATGCTATTTGTAGTTCTGAAACATCGATTAGCTCATGTTGTAATTAAACTTTAATGAACTTGTATGTCTCTTTGGTATGGACAGTCGTTAAACTTAGATGTAATCGATGCTATTTATTAGTAGGACCATGAATCGTGCTATTAATGTCTTGCTTTTCTCTTGCGATCCTTTTGTTGCATACTTATATATTGCTTTTGTATTGTCTGTTGTCTGGCTTGTGCATAGAGATGCCGTCGTATGTCGTGTACAAGGGTAAGGTTCCCGGAGTCTACGACGACTGGGAGGAGTGTCGGAGAAAGGTTAACCGTTTCAGCGGTAACAGTTACAAAGGGTACATCACTAGGGCGGAGGCGGAATCTAGATACGCCCGCTATCTAGCGGGAGAGAGGAGGGAGCGTTGGAGGAACTGGGTGATGACCAGTTTCATCACGATGATGCTCATCGTGATGATCGTAGCTCTCTTCTATGTGATGGTAGTTTAGATGATCGATATCGACTTGTAATGTGAAGACAAACTCGCTACTCACGGTCTCCGAGACTTGTAATGTTCTATCTTCGTTCGGTCTTTTGTATTCGGAGACTAATATGATGAATTGTATTCGGAGACTTACCTTCTATTGTATTCGATGAATCTGTTGTTGCTGTGTGGTGCTGTCTATATTCTGTCAAATAATATATTTTATAACCTGTGAAAAAAATCAAAAAAAAACAAAAAAAACTAATATTAATACTAATGGCGCACCACACAAGACACCAATGGCGCACTGTTATAATCACACTAATGGCGCATCACCCACTGGTGCGCCATTAGTAAGCCAAAGCACATGGGTATATATGGCCCCCTGGGAGGCATTCTAATGGCGCACTATAGGCTATATTAATGGCGCACTGCTTGGTGCGCTATTAGAACACCAGATACTAATGGCGCACCAGAGATGCGCCATTAGAATTTAATTCTAATGGCGTGATGCTAGTGGCGCATCAGTAGTGCGCCATTAGTAGGCAAAACTGATGCGCCACTAGCATTGCCTTTTCCTAGTAGTGAAAAGACTAAAAATACGTGTGAAAAAATATATAAAACAAAATACAAAGAGAACACCTAGATCACGACATGTGACACACTTTTAGCCCGCTCTATGTCGAGGCCACTGGCAGAAAGGCCCCATCTACTGACAGCCTCCAGGACCCGCGCACGTCACGGCCCAACCGCCAGCGGCGGCCCAGCTCAAAGGTACATGGGCCAGAGTGGGTGTGATCTGCCAACCGCTCCCCACTTAACACGCTCGCACAGAAGAGGAGGTCATTCAGTGGATCACGGCGGCGGCGGCATCTGTTATTATCTAGTCTTCAATCCCCTTCTTCCAATTCTTGTACCAGAGGTTGTAATCGCTACCCGAGACTCGAATTCGTGAGCAAGTGAACTAGATCGAGAGAGATATATAATTCTGGGTTCCTAACATCTGGTATTCAGAGCCTTTGATCCACGCACTGGCGCACTTGATCGAGACCAGGCAGTACTTGAGTATGTAAGCAATTCCTAGGCTTAATTCTCTCAAATGATTTTGAATGTTCGGGTGTCGCTCAAAGTTAAACTTCTTTGCTTGGTTAGCAATTGGTTAGCAATCCAAGATAGTATTTGGATTGCGGATAGGTTGGCTGAGCGGAGTGGGTAAATTGTGGTCTTTTCCCCTTTTGCAAAAGGGGAGAACCGGCGTGGGCAGACCTCATCGAAAAGCAATGGCTTTGCTAAACATACTCGTGTCCTGGACCCTTTGCGCAACATCATCATGACAACCCGCGGATCACCGCGGGTGCGAAGAAACTAGGATCAATTGTACTGCAAGAATAAACTCGTATGTGGTATTCTCTCCGTCCGAAAATACTTGTCATCAAAATGGATAAAAAAAGATGTCTAAAACTAAAAGATGTCTAGATACATCTCTCTTTATCCATTTTGATGACAAGTATTTTCGGAGGAGGGAGTATTTGAGAGACATTTGTAACAAACTCTATTCTCTTCTTCGTATTGATGAGGTAAATCTTAGGCCTCTATTTGAAAGGGGAAAAAAGCGTAGGTAGAAAACGGCACTAGCAGTTGGCTCACCACTCACTAGCTGAGCTACTAGGACAGGATTAGGAGGTACTGTCCATTGATATGATGAATCGCCACCACCATCTGTATGTATGATCTCTTGTGTGCATCATTAATTCGACTATCTAACGGGAGAATCTCGAGTTTCCTGGCGTTCGGTCTGCCGATTGCTTTGTTTCAGAAATATACACGCAGAAGGAGAAGGGGCCTGAACTCCACGCATGCAAGCCTCAGTACTGAAGAAGTGATACGCACTCACTGAGACGGCACGGAGAACACACAAACACACACACAAAAAAACGCGAAGTAGCACAAATCACAAATGCAAGATACATACGTGCATACAGATTAATTTGGAGAAGTGATATCGATGCGCATAATCATACGCACAGAACGGCAGTACATAGCGCTCCGGTCAGCACAACAGTAGAAAAACAGCAGTAGCTGGTCTAGTAACTGAACCGGCATGCAGGGTGGTTATTCATGGCGCAGAGATGAGATCCTGCTTACACCGATGCGCCAGTCATCTCATCATCCATGAACAGCTAGAGCAACTGGAGCAAAGATGCCTCTGGATCTGTCTATCTATCTCCACGAGTCCTATCTGATTAATTGATGAACAAGCTATGCCTATGCGGCTATGCGACGAGGACGAAGATGGCGTAGATGATGCCGGGGATGTAGCCCAGCACCGTGAGCAGCAGGCAGATCCAGAACTCCACCTGCACATGCACCAAACCCATCACACACCGGTAGATCGACAGGCAGCTTGACTCGTAGTTGAATTAGCTAGCACCGGCAGCAGCAGTTCATAAATATGCGTAGGTTTGGGAGGAGCTTACGCCGATGCCGTAGCGGAGGAAGACGCCGACCGGCGGCAGCAGGATGGCCAGCAGGATCTCCACGAACGTCTCCGAACCCATCGCAATCAAATCCCTCTTCTCGCAGAGCCTTTCTTCTCCGATGACTATGAGAATGAGATGATATGGTCGATGGCGCTAGCTTGTCGTGGGAGAGTGAGCAAGCAGAGTAGGGCTACTGAAGTGCGGCGCTAGAGCTGATCGGCTCGACCGGTAACCTAGAAGAATTGGACGCCGGCGGACGTGGCAGCGCCGAGCTCCCGTGGCTCGACACCTCGCGCACACTCCATGCATGCCTTGCTCGGTGGACATCTGTCGAGCTGGGTTGAGGAATCTTGCGAACCACGCGTCAGCACGATTAGGCACTCGTAATAGAAAATTCAGATTAGGACTCCTAACGGAGACTGCTTACCGAACAGGTAATTTCTTCTCTGTCCCACTCTACGGCCGGTCCGGCTGCAAGTGAACAGTGTCTTAACCGAGGGTGAACACTGGCGAAGAGAACAGTGTTGGAGTTTAGACGAAACGGTAACTAAGATGGATGCATCACAGCAGTCCATCAAAGACCTGTCTCGTGCGCGTCGGTCGCTGCCATTCGCAAACTGAACCTGGAGTGGGACAGTTGAACACTTCTTCAGTAGTTTCAGTACAGCTTCGGCTCGGGCCCGCTTGCATAAATATGACGCGGAAAGTAAAAGCCCGGACTTTCAAAGTTCGAGTGGATCAAGGTAGGTACGAAAATCCGTCCTCCTCCTTCTTGATGCATGCGCGCGCGCTTCTTCTTGAGATAAACACCGCGTCAGTACCACGCGTGCAGAGCAGAGGCAGGTGAATATCCTGGCGAACTTCGGAGCATTGCGAAGGCCGAAGAAGAGAGAAAAAAAATACTGAGAGAGAGAGTACTACCGAGTCTTTATCTTTACCTAATTTAATAATAAAGAAAATTGGATTTCTGTCGTCCGTCACCGTGCACTATTTGCAAAAAGCCCCTTATGGTTTTAACTAATTAACCCGCAGTCCAGCATATAAGTGAAAAAAAAGTGTTCCATATTTCAGATTCGTGACGCGTCCTCCACGCCGCCCGTACTGGGCTTCATACGCTGATAGGCTTTCTCCTTGCCTTCCTAGGATCATGCCGAAAAAATTTTATAACTTGGCTAAGTAATAATACCACATCGTTTCTTTACACCTAATCTGACTGGTTCATATAGGTAGACGTTGATGATTCAACAAGCGACCACAGAAATCAGGACACAGAGATGAGGATAATCACAAGGGAAGGATTCGGTCTATCAAATAATCGATCAAAGAAAAGCAGATTGCAACACCACGAAATCGAAGAAATCGAATAGGTGGGGCATCAAATCACACGACGGGAGGAGCAAACTAGGCCGGGGACGGTCGAGGACAGCAGAATCCGGACGGAGGAGTCGCAGACGAGGCCGAGGGCGGTCGAGGGCGTCCGGATCCGGACGGATCCGGTCCAGTGGAGGCAGATCCGTCGGCGGCGCATCAATCAGGCGTCTGGAGGAGAATATGAGGGCCGGCGACGGGGACGGGGAACTCCTCGAGGGCAGTTGCTTGGGGACATCAATCAGGCGTCTGGAGGAGAATATGAGGTCGAGGACGGTCGAGGGCAGCCGGATCCGGACGGATCTGGTCCGGTGGAGGCAGATCCGGCGGCGGCTGGATTTGGTAGGAGCGGCGGCGTCCTGCGTTCAGCAGCAAACAAGAGAGAGACAGATGTTAGTGGAAGGAGAACCACAGGGAAAAGAAGGAAGGAGAGGGAGACAGCGTAGCAGCATGGCCGGCGACGGGGACGGGGAACTCCTCGAGGGCAGTTGCTTGGGGACGAGCCGGGAGATGGAGGAGGCGCTGGGTGAGGGAGAAGGAGATACGAGATGTGGATGGATCAGTCTCCTCGCTCTAGGGGTTAACGGGGGTAGTTGGGCTGATCCATCTAGAAGGTTTAGACTTGGGCCGATGGTTTTGGGCTGGTTGGACTCCATCTCTCTTTGTTATCTTCTTTTAATTAAACATAAATAAACTTTGATGAGTAAAATAAATAAAGATAGAAAAGGGATTTGGTGTTGCGCTGGTTAGATTCCCTTTCTCCATTTTTTAATTAACCAGAACCTTTTTTTTCTCAAAAAAAAACCAGAACCTTTTTTTTTGAGAAATTAAACAGAAACTTGAATAAAATAAAGATAGAGAAGGGATTTAGACCAACATAGTTATTTCTCTAGGATCGGAGAAATATGGGGAATTTAAATAAAGTGCTTTGGGGACTTTAACAAACTTCATATTACATAATTGACACATAAGTTTTCCCGTTGCAACGCACGGGCCTATGTGCTAGTAACGAAAAAACTAAACCCGCAGTGGCCGAATCGGATCACCACACGCGTTAGCGCCTCTGGCCGCCGACCATGGCATGCCGCGCACACGTTTGCGCCGAACCTGTCTCACTCTCTCCAGCAGTATCCTGCACGCTAGTCTCCGTGCTAGCTAGATAGTCTTGGTGCTGCTTGGCCGGCCGGTGCAGGTAGGGATGCAAGAAAGGCTCGAGACTCGTGGGCCGCTCGAGATCGATTCGTTTTCTAGCTTGACTAAGATCAACTCAAAAAAAAATGAGCTGAGTATGAATATTTTCTGTAGCCCAGTCGAGAAACGAGCTGATTTTGAGCCAATACCGTCTCGCTCAATTTTAGCTCGATAGCTCGGTGTAATATTATTATGTTGAATGATAGCTCGGCGTAATATTATTAATCGGAAATAGGATAGTTTATTCCCATATATGTTGCCCAAGAATTTTTTTCCCTCTATTTTCTTTACAAGCAAACATGGAAGCTTAATTAATTGTAGAGAAAATTTAGGCCTTACTCTGGTACATGGTCGACCGTGTGTTAAATATTATGTTGTTTCTGGCATTTTCGGCCCGCACTACGCTGCAACTTATTATGATTGTTGGCCAATATTTTATTTTCTCAATTATATATATGTCGTGAATTGTTATCTTATGTCAATACTAGATTTTCGGTTGTGAGAGAATAAGTCAAACTAGTTCTAAAAAATTTATATTATCATCATTCTGATTGAAATAGTATTTAGTGCTTTTTTATGCCACGTTGTGACTTATCTAGTTGGAATAATAGTTGTAGATATTATAATTTTTATCGTCTCATTTAGCTCGAAACTAGCTCGAGATCGACTTGAGATTATTACAAGCTAAGCACGAGTCATGTTCTACAGCTTGACCTTGAGTTTCGTTTAGTTTGAGCTCGCTTAAATTTTAATATGAGTTGAACTGAGCCAAGTTCAACTCGCTTAAACTCGACTCGTTTGCAGCCCTAGGTGCAGGTCGCGGGCTGGTCGGCCGGTGGGTTCTCTCCTCTGGAATTAAGCGAATGCATCTATGCCGTGAGCTCGAGTACTACTACTGGGTGGGTGGTACTCACACGTTCCTTCTTGTTACTGTTACTGTTACTACACTTGTTTGTCAACTCTGCTAGCCCGTCCGTTTCAGATTACTAGTACTCCCATCCGGGTATTTGTAAACGAGCATTTGCATCGTTTGAACCAACATTGGACAGAGATATACAAGTTGGGAAGCCTCACAGAGATACAAGTTGACCTTTAGTGGATGTTTCTAGGCCCTTCGGGGTATTTCGTATGTTAAAGAAAACAAAGACAGCCAAAAAGAAATTCTGCATTCGATTTGCCAGCATCCGACGACAGAGAGTTGTGCTTCTGGGTGCATGACAAAGAAATGGTGCAGCTTCGTGTGGTGGCACTGTGGTACGTCCTTGCCAACCTGGTGCCCTCGTCAAGGGTGATGATGCAACACCCGCCGCAAGCCGACACGTAAGGGTGATGTTGACATCAGATTTTGGCACAGTCAAAAACTTATTTAAGATGATCTCAAATGGAGAAGTGTTCTACATGAAAGAGTTCCATATTGTTGATATGAACATCTTTGAAGTTTGGACATTGCCATCCGATTTCATCTCGAAGGTCAAAACTATGATCAAAGTACTAAGATCTTATATTCAGAGTACAGTTTGGCCAATTAAGCCCTGAAGATTACCTCAAATGGAAAAATGATCTACACGGATTGTCTTCGTCTCGTCAAAACGATCGATTTTGATATAAAAATCGTTCCAATCAGAGTACGTATGCAGAAGTTAGAGCTATCGGAATACAACCCTGTTAGGAGGAAAAACTGACGCGCCCCACCAGACACCCTGTCTGATGGGTAGCGCGAATAATTGCCTGTTTTGCGCAACCGATTTGACCCTTAAGATTACCTCTGATAAAAAAAGGTTCAACATGAAAGTTGTTCGTCTCGTCTAAACGGTCAAGATTGCTTTTAGACTCGTTTTCATCCGAGGTCTTTTACCACCTCAAAAATTACTCACAAGGTGCAGCCAGTTTAAACCGAACAATTTTGGAAAGTTCGGACAAAATCAATCCGAATTTGACTAGGGTTTTGGACGTGAATCCAAGCCTTTTCCTTACACAGAAAGTCCAACCGTCTCTTATATACCTAGGGGGTGACGGCCGATTGAACAACACACAATAGATCAATTCATCTACCACTTTTATCTTTTATCTTTTCTCTTTAACCCTAGTTCTTCTTCTTTCTCGTTCTTCGTCTGTTCTTCTTGTTGCAGGGCGGCGAACCTCGAGGCCCTAGGGGCGATCAGGTCGACCTAAGGCAGCCCATAGCCGCCGCGCGTCCAAACGGGGTCCCTCCCGGGCGCATGGGGTTTCCGGTCCTCAAAAGCACCCGCCGGATTGCCCGCGTACCACACTTCCGGCCGGGTCTCCTTCAACGTGAGCTGCGGTGCATCATCCCCGGCGTTGGAGGTACACGGTGACGTGTTCGTGTGCGAACACACTTTTTGGCGACTCCGCTGGGGACGAAGCTTTGAACGGTCTCCAGCCCGTTCTTGCTACAAAGAGATCGTCGTCAAGTTGCTGCAATCCACAAAGGTAATATGAATACCCAATTTCCCTTTGTAGATGCAAATAATCCATATGTTGTTGCTGAATCACCTAATGAGGATAATGTATTGACTAGCCCTAGTTTTATCAATTATGCATCTAATTATGCGCAAGGGCCGATGCAAAACAATCTTCTTGCTTCAAATTCTTATGATTTTAGCAACGTACAACATATGTATCCAAACTCTCATGCATCGGCAACCCCACAAATCCATATGCCGATGAACAACATGATGGGTTTGGTCAATGAATTTGAAACACCTCATGTTAAAATTTCCAATAGCATACAAAAAAGTGTTTCACCTTTTTATTCATCGGCAACTAATTTGCAATATGTGAATCCAACCTTGCCGATGGATGGGAGAATTGGTCATGCTACTACTAGCTATTCGGCTAGTTACTCTCAACCATCATATGCTACACCTCATGTTAGTAAATTTTCAGCACCGTATGCAACTGTAGATGTTCATAATTCGGCCCCGCATTTTCATGGTCATAGCCGAATAAGTGAAAATTTTACAGGAACATATGTGTCGTCATCAAATACTGTAGC